GATTGACCAAGGGCTCTGCTCTTGGATCGGAATGCATCACTAACCAAAGTGCAGGGACCATAGAACGATAAGAAAGGCAAAACCGCATACCTTGTTGTTTCAGCTAAAACCAGTGCTGGGCCAAGCTTGGTTAATATTATGCAGAAAGTGGGGAGCTCAACAATATTGCGTAAGGGCATGCAAAAATGTTGAGCTGGATCTAGTTGCTCTTGCTGACATTATTTCTAATTGACATTAGCTATTATCCATTCAACATTCTGGGGAAAAAGCCCAGATTACGCGAGACATAAGAAAATTGTTTCACATTTGTTGGTATTGCCTCATTTTATAGTTGAGGAGTCTTGCAAGCTAGTCTACAAGCTCAAAAATTTCAAGGATTTATAGCGATATTTTCGAGTGAAAAACTGATGAGAAGAAAAACAGGAAGAGAAATATGATAATATAGCATATCTACGAATGAGACTTTTATAAAGACATGTAGACACATAGGCCATTATAACAACGATCTGCACAATGTTATTCGCGCAAATGCCTATAGATTTGATGAGGGAGTCAAATAACGTGCATATTATGCAGCTTCAACCTTCTTGAACCGAAAGAAGCGCAACATCCCATCGTCTTCTGTGCATGTGATATTCTGACTTCTCGCAAATTTGAGAATTAAAGTGGAACTCATTTAAATAACTTATTAAGCTACTTCCATACAACTGCTTACTCCCGTATAACGAAGAGGTCCCCTCTTGAACGCCGAAAATAATTTTGGGAAAAAAATTTGGGAAGAGTCGAAAATCAAAAGGGTCGTTGCCATATTTACACAGGCGCTACCCAGCTGCCAATGACTATGCCAATGGCGTTGAACCCTGGCGTCAGCGATCGTTCAACAATATCGCAAATCAAACAGACTGCCACATTCGTGGAAATTCAAGCATTCAACTGGCAGATCTTGGGGACGATCCTAGAAGGCATGGGAATTTCAAGACTAAAAATAGTGCCTGAAAGAGTAGAGAACAAAACAGGCATTCGTGGCTGCATATTAAGGTACACTTGAAAACTATCAACTTCTACTGGGTGTAGAGCAGATCAGATTTCGATGTCATTAATCTCATATCAGCCATTATCTCTTCAATCTAAATTTCTGCTGGAACAACTTTTTAGCTTTTGCAACTATAAAAAACCTAATCGGACCGAGCTGTAAGTATAATCTAAACCATATTGCTCACTCAAAGTTCTAATCTTAGACAGCGCCACCTAGCTTAAGAGCAGAAAAAATTAAAAAGTATCTGTTTCAAATCCAGTAAAAGGAAAAAATTCCCCCTAACTTTTACTGTAACAGATCGTTGGAGTTGAAGTGTTTAACCTAGGAAGAAACCTGAGTTTATTCAGGG